CTGCTATTCTGAAAAGTAAGACAATAACTGAGGGGGAGAGGAGGGCAAAAATAGAGTGTATAATGAATACTGTAAAGGACAGAGATGAGAGAGGATTAACTTGAACTGATACACTGGCAATATGGCTAATGCAGTTAGCAAACAGAAACAGCATATGTATAACTGTTCAAAAGGAGAGGGGAAAATGAAGTAGGAGAGGTGAAAGAAGGGGAGGGAATCACAGGACAATACAGCTTACTGGACAGAGGGAAGCGTGGGGAGAGGTAAAGGAACAGGCAAGGTGCAGTGGGGACATGATGAGAGAGTGATAAAAGGCATGGATCAATAATAGCAATTACTTGCTATCCATCAGAGAGCTGGACAATGACTCAGGATGACAGAAGGCTAGATGCCTCTGAGTTTTGGTGCTGGAGAAGATTATGAACATACCATGGACTACCAAGAGAACAAACAGGTCTGTCCTGGAAAGAGTGAAATCAAGTTGCTCCTTGGAGGCAAAGATTTTGAATCTCCATCGCACATACTTTGGGCATGTTGCCAGGAATGTCCAGGACATCAAGTGTGGAAGGGTGGAGGGGACTACCCTGGGTAAGGTGGATAGATAGTAACTGGGGAATGGTGTGTCAGAGTGAGACTGGCTCAGGACAGGGCAGGCTGTTGCTACAAGTGCCAGTTGACTTGGCAGCATGTAACAACAACATGCAAAGAATTAAGAATTCCTGAAACATTTAAAAATAAAGATTAATTTGGAGGACATTATACTGAGTGAAGTAACACAAAAGGCCAATGAGAGAGACAACTATTGAGGGGGGAAATAAAGATTTATGTACAGGATATTTTTAAAAAGTATCTCTTGGCTACCAGAAAGGAGAGAAGATTACTAACAAGACAGATATGTTAATAAATGGTTAAGGAAAGCCACTACATAACATGGGCAAATTAATACAGAATGGCCAGGGCAGGAATGCAGAAGAAAGCTGTGCTGTGAACCCAAGGGTTGCGCTTTTCTGGAGATTCAAATCCACCAGCCACTCTATGGGAGAAAATGGGCTTTCTCCTCCCATTGTAATTTATATTCTTGGAAACTTTATGGAAGGTCACTCTGAGTTGGAGTACACTCAGTCGCAGAGTGTAAATGTCTCACTAACTGGACCAATAAGCAATAGAATAATGGAGAGAGGCTTGAAGTTGTCAGTGTTTGTAAATTTTCTTTGATCCACACTCAACACTCATGGAAGCAGCAATCAAGAAATCAAATTGCTATTACACTGGGTAAACCTGCTGCCTAGGAACTCTTTGAAGTGCTAACAAGCAAAGACATCAGTTTAAAGATTAAGGTGTGCTTGTCATGCTGTTTTCAATTGTTCCATATGCATATGAAAGTTAAGAGTGCAACCAGGGTGCTCACCTTTAAGGTGATGACAATGAAATTTCTCACATACATGCTAGTCCCTGGAAAAGGACATCATGTGGAAAACTGGAGGGTCAGTGAAGGAGCGGAAGAGTCAATGAGATGGTCAGACACAGTTACTGCAACTGTGGCTTAAGCACAGTAGAGACTGTGAGGATGGCACAGAATCAGGTGGAATTTCATTCTGCTTCACTGAGTCTTGTAAAATCAGAGCCAACTCCAGGGCACCTATCACCACCACCACCACCACCACAGTAATTCTCTAACAGAAACAAATCTGCAACAGTGTTGTTCTTGTTGTTATATGCCTTCAAGTCGCATAGTATGTACAACAGCCTTAAACTCTGCTCTGTCCTGTGCCAATTGCACTGTCTCCAAAACACCCATCCTGATTACTCCAGTCACTGAATCAATCCACCTCATTGAGGGCCTTCCCCTCCTGCGCTGTCCCTCCACCCTGCCAAGCATGATGTCCTTCTCCAAGGACCGGTCCCTCCTTACAACATGTCCATAGTATGTTAGCTTCAGAATCCTTGCCTCCAAGGAGCCACCCGGTTTAACCTTTTCCAGGATGAATCTGTTTGTTTTCCTAGCAGTCCATGGTATTCTCAATACTCTTCTCCAGCACCACAGCTCAAAGGCATCAATTCTCCTTCTATCCTCCTTGGTCACTGTCCAACTCTCTGATGCATAACAAGTGACTGCAAAGACCATGGCCTGTATCAGACACACCTTAGTCTCCAAAGAGACACCACTGCTCTTCAGTACTTTGGAGAGGTCCCTAACAGTAGACTTTCCCATTTCAATGTGTCTTTTAATTTCCTGGCTGCTGGTGCCAAGAGTGTTGACTGTGGAGCCAAGCAAACTAAAGCTGTGAACAATCTCAATCTCTTCACCATCCATCCTGATGCTGCCAGTTGGTCCAGTGGCGAGAATCTTTGTCTTCTTGACATTGAGCCTCAATCCATATTGGAAGCTGCAGTCCTTGAAGCTCTGCAGCAAGCGCTTCAGGTCCTCCTCAGTTTCAGCAAGCAGGGTTGTGTCCTCTGCATAACGCAGATTGTTGATAGGTCTTCCACCAATCTTGACCCCACATTTCTCCTCATAGAACCCACAGCCTCCTGGATAATCTGTTCTGCATACAGGTAGAAAAGGTATGGAGATAGGATGCATCCCTGGCGTACGCCCTTCCCAATTTTGAACCATGCGGTGTTTCCTTGCTCTGTTCTGACGAAATAGTATAACAAATAACATACAAATATATTGTGGTGGTGACATCCTACCCCAGCAGGATTTCAGAGGCAGTTAAACCAGAGGAGAGTGCCCATCTTTCTCCTACAGAACAGCTGGTGGATTTAAACAATGTGTTTCTTGGACCCAATACAGGTTTTAGGCTGCCAGAGCTCCCTAAAGAGGTAGGGGGATATATGGAAAAACCTAGGTAGGTTAAGTATAAGGGAGCACACCAATCTGCAGATAACACAGGTTGTAGGGTTTTTTTTCATACATGTATAATTACAGGTGCTTCATATACATGAATATAGATGACAGAACAAAGGACACAGAACTAAATACACCTCATGACTAAACACACCTCATGATTATATTCCTACGATGTAAGGTGAAGGACAAAAGGCTTGAGGGACATCTAATTCTAGTTCTGACCTAGAACTAGAGCCATTCCCTTTCCGCCACACACTAAAAGGCCATAAAATAGTATTCCCAGAGAGAAAAATATTCCTTAGAACAATTATATTAGATAGATATAAAGAACATTTACCCAAAAGTAGAAAATTCGAACAAAGGAGAAGTCAGGATGGAAATGAGGAAAGACACATTGTGTGAAACACAACCAATGGCATAGAACATTTTTTATACAAACTATTTAATGAGAAACTAAATTGCTTTGTAAATTTTCCCCTAAAGCCTTCCTCCACCCCAAAATGTCACGTGCTTTCTAAAAATGACAAAAAAATACTAAAGTGTTTTCAGCGCCAAATACCGCTCAACATACTTAGCAGTTTGACATGCAAATTTTTATTAGAGCAATCCAGGGGAAAACCAGGAAATCACAGAGGACATGTATTCCCTAAAGAGGTGATACAGAGGTTTATAGTCCCCTTATATGAGTCTACACGGAATGTTCATAATCTCTTCCTTCAAAGATTGTCTTGTTGGTAAACAGCAGCAGAGCTCTCCGATTGGTGACAGCGAAGTGCTTTGTCCTGGAGAGGGACTGACAATCTCAGGAAGTTTGAAGTTCATAACAAGTCCTGTCACGGAGTCTTTGTTGATACAGACACTAAGATCAATTTCAAGCTCAATGGCACTGAGTCAGAGACTTGCTAGTCAGCGACTTTGGGAAGGGGCAGCACTGTCTCTCAGTTACCCCTGTGTCTATTTTTATGTCTCTATCCATTTAATTCTTTTGCGGGTAGGTGCCACACGATGTGCTTAGCTATTCCTACCTTCTCGTTTACTATTTCTAAATAAAAAATACATTTACAATCTCTAGGGAACGTTGGTGGCCTAATGGGTTAAGGAGTTGCTTTGAGAACTTAAAGGCAAGTGGTGGTTCCTGGAGAAAGATAGATAAAACCCATGGGCATGGTTCCAACTAGAAGGCGATGACTGAGTTCTGAATCATCTATTTCTGTTTACTAAGTAAAAACCATGTTTATAATTGTCTTTCCTAACATGTAGCAAATACTCCAAAGCCCATACTTGTTTTTTAAGTTGCATACTTATTTGTAGCTCCCCACCCCCATGGCACTCATATAAGAGGAATCTCCAGATCAAAAGAAACGAAAAGCGATAACCTTAGAAAACAACTAGAACACTCCCAATCTTATGCCTAAACCGATCCCAATCCTCAACAGAAATGTGCTTCTTCACTAGAATGTTAACTGTAACATCTAACAGCCAAAACTGAAAAAGAATCTGTTTGACTCTGTCGTATATTCATTCTAAAACAAGGAAAAGGAAATACGCATTGAAATAAGGACTCATTTCCAAATTATACTGAGTGGAAGCCAAAAGCAAAACCAACGATTTATTAAAATTGGGAAAGGTGGCTGAATTTTGATGAGGAAAGAGGTGGGAACTTAGCTTCGGGGAAAGTCTACTTTTCATAGAAGGCTTTCCTTTCGTTCTGCACCTTCTGAGTCAAAACAAGGGCCTCTTGTTGGGAATGTACAAGAACAGTAAAAGAAATACAAGGTACGAACACCTACCGAGAAACAAACGGGAGTCACCAGGGACGCCAAGAGCGGACAGCCAAACCCTTAAGTCCTCATGGAGGCGCCTTGCGCTTTGGCGCCGGCTTCCGCCACTTCCGGCGTGAGGGGCGCGCGGCCCCGGCCCCGCCCCTACAGCCTGCGACCGGTAAACGGGATTAGTTCACGTCGGGAAGACGGGAGAGACTGATGGGCGTGCCTCTCTAGTCCAACGAATCGTTTATCCTTTGGGAAAGGACATGTGGGCCAATAGGGCGCAGCGAACGAGGCCCCTCCTACAAGTATGCCCAACCAATCGACTGGGTGTAGGGAGCAGGGAGGCGACGGAGGTGCGGCCCTCGGTGCCCTGTGGCATGGCGGGCAGGGGGCGCAAGGTGCTTACTCTTCAGTTGGGACATTTCGCTGGTTTTGTGGGAGCTCACTGGTGGAACCAGCAGGTAAGATTTCCCAGCAGCTGCAGCAGAGAAACTTTTCAGGATTTCCAGCTTTGAACTTCAGCCTGTCTCTAGAGTCTAGTGAAGGCCTCTGTGCTTCCCAGGATGCTGCTCTGGGCCGCCCCACCGATGCCCAGGAGGCGCCAGGAGAACTGTGCCCCGATGTCCTGTACCGGGCAGGCCGAACCCTGCATGGCCAGGACACCTACACGCCGCGGCTCATCCTCATGGATCTGAAAGGTGAGGCTGACGGGGGGTTTAGCAGACGCGGTTTTCTCTTCAGCCTATGGACTCTCGAGCATCTTTTCCCTTCTGGATCCCTGGACTCACTGGGCTCAAGGACCAGTGATGAAACTATGAGAGAACTAACTACGCTTGTAATCGACAGGGGGATATAGGAAGGGGCACATTTATCCCCGCTTTTACCAGAAATCATTGAGATATTGACCTGCAGCACACCAGTAAGGAACGCTTAGTGGAGATTTTGCCCCAAATCTCAAAGCTCATGACTGAGCTGGGCAAGGAAAGCTGGGCTCTGGATTCACTAACTTTTCGTAAAGACAACCCCCCCCCCCCCATGCATTATCTGCAAAGGCTGTAGGGATGAAGTCAGCTAGATGTTAGGTAGGTGGCCAGATGTTAGATTGGCAGAAAGGGGGTATGTGACAACAGGGCTTTGACTTGTCGATAAAGTCTATCCCTATAGGCACTTAGTGGCAGACTGTACAGAGTTGTGCCAACCCAAAACCCCAGTCTCTCTAGTATGAATCTACCAACTTCTAGGGAAAAAGTTGGGCAATCTCCCATGTTATTTATTCTCAGCAATTCAGCAGAGGGTCAGTATCCGTAGGGTACAACCCCATGGAAATGAGCTTTTGAGTTCTGTTATACAGGTAGTCTCAGCTCCCTGAAACAGGAAGGTGGACTCTACAGGGACAAACAACTAGATGCTACAATAGCATGGTAAGTATCTGTGGTGTGTGGAGGAGCTGGGAGTGTACACTCAAAACAGGAACACTGTCACCGTGATCCTCTCTTTCAGGCAGGGGAAGCTCACTACACACAAAGAAGAACTCTACCCCAAAAACCCTTATGTTCATGACCTGCTGAGTGCAGAGGTGAGGGGCTAAGCCCTGGACTTTTCAACCCAGTATTACTCACCTCCACTAGGACAGAGAAAAAAGACAGCACTGAGCATCATGAATGGTTTAGGATAATTTTTTGTTTTCCTACATACTCTGACTTTATGAACAGAAAGGAGGCTGTGGGGAGTGGCCGTCCAATAAATCCCAACTGTATGGAACTAAAGTAGGTTTTTCTCTCACCCTTCCCAGGGAGAGCTGAGTAGTGATGGTGTCTGGAGGGTCAAATCCATCCCCAATGGCAAAGGTGAGATTTCTCCAAGTAGGAGAGCTGAGCTGTATAGGAGCATGGCGAGAGGCACAGATTCTTTCCTTTTCTCCTTCAGGTCCCCCGACACACACCACTGCTAAAACACCAAAACCACCCACCCCAACAGTGGGCAGCATCAGAGTTTGGTCAGACTTCCTCCGAGTCCATCTCCATCCCCGAAGCATCTGTATGATCCACAAATACAACCACGATGGGTATGTGTGCCCTTGAGGAGGTGTGATAGGGAATGTAGATCCCCAGCAGTGTGCGAGTACGCTCTTGAGGGCACCCTCACTGCCATCCTCAGAAACAAAAGAAGATCTGGGAGAGAGCAGGGCTGGTGTTGCCTATTTTTAATTCTTTCATGTTTGTGAATGGCAGAGAAACAGGTCGGCTGGAAGCTTTTGGTCAAGGGGAGAGTATCCTGAAGGAACCAGGCTACTTGGAAGAGCTGGAGGACAGGCTACACTTCTACGTGGAGGAGTGTGACTACCTGCAGGTAGCTTGTGGCAAGGTGGACATCAGGGGAGAAGCTCTTCTCATTCTACTCTCAATTATCCTCCATTTTTCCCTTCTTTCCAGGGTTTCCAGATCCTGTGTGACCTGCACGATGGCTTTTCTGGGGTAGGCGCCAAGACGGCAGAGTTGCTACAGGATGAATACTCAGGGCGGGGGATACTAGCCTGGGGCCTGCTCCCTGGTCCCTACAACCTTCAGGTGAGTACAGCTTGCTGAGGAAGTAGTTCTAGGGTGAGATGGAAGAAATGACAAGTGATATCCCAGCAGAAAGATGCCTACAGCAAACTATTCTCCATTCTCAGCAGGAACCCCAGAAGAACATCTACCGTCTGTTAAACACAGCATTTGGACTGGTGCACTTGACTGCTCACAGCTCTCTCGTCTGTCCCTTATCCCTGGGTGGAAGCCTGGGCTTGCGGCCTGAGCCACCTGTCACCTTTCCACAGCTGCATTATGATGTAAGGCCCTAGGTGCCACAAAGCAAGGCCTCACACTCTAGTCAGCTTTTCTTTAGCTGTATTATCATGTTTGTTACTTGAAGCTTGAGCTGAACGCAACTGTGATGTGGTTTCTTAGATTCTATTTGTCTACACGTGTCCTATACTGGCCCCAACTCACCCTTGCTGCTCCCCAGAGCACCAGACCCCTACCATTATCATCCTTCCTCCAAATTCACTGTTCCAGGCTGCAGAGACCCAAGTGCTCCTCCCTCTTTACAGGCCAGCTTGCCCTTCCACTGCAGTGCCATCCTGGCTACCGCCCTGGACACACTCACTGTTCCTTATCGCCTGCATTCCTCACCTATTTCAATGGTTCATATGGCTGATATGCTGAGCTACTCTGGGAAAAAGGTATGGAGGTTTGTAAGAGTAAAGGAAGGTAAGAGCTGACAAAACCCCTAATGATCTCATTGCTTCCTTGACTCTAGGTGGTGACAGCAGGAGCCACCATCCCATTCCCTTCAGGCCAATCCCTTCCTGATACCCTGGTGCAGCTTGCGGGTGCCACTCCTTGGACCCCGCTGTCTGCATGTGGGGACTCATCTGGAGCACGCTGCTTTGCCCAGTCAGTGGTGCTAAGAGGTCTAGAAAGAGTATTCCACACCAGGTGAGGCCTGCAGGTCCCTAGGAACCCTTGTCAGATATTTTTTTTCCCTTTATTCCCCGGCCTCCCCTTCACTGCTACTCCCTACCCTGATCCTCGGAATACTCTACAGGGGTGGATGAGGAGTAGAGTAGGAGAGGGAACCTCTGAGTGTCCTTAGTCTGCTGATGGTCTGAAATAGGAATTATTCTTAGATTCATACTCATGTTGGTGCAAAGTAAAGGTGGGTTTGGCTTTGTTCTGACAGTCACCTCACCCCAGGGACACCTCCGCCCTCCCAGCTCCATGCCTGTGCCACTGGGGAAGAAGTCTTGGCCCAGTATTTACAGCAGCAGCAGCCTCGAGCTTTGAGGTCAGTATGATGTTTGCTCTGCCATTGTCATTCTGGCCTCAGACCTCCCTTGACTCTTTGCTAATTCAAGTTCTGTTCACTTGCCCCCACAGTTCTTCCCATCTGCTGCTGACTCCTTGTAAGGTGGTCCCTCCTTACCCACACTTCTCCTCAAGCTTCAGCCAACAGGGTTCACCTTCTGGAGGGGCAGGTATGTAGGTAATGAAGAAAACCAGCACTGCCTGCAAGGGAGAGCGTTTACTGTCTCCCATGCTCAGTTTCAGTTTTTAAACAGTCCTTTATTCACCCTGTGGTTCCTCTGAGAAGTGCTCTCTGCCTCTGGAGTGCAGCTGGCGTAGCAGCGGTACCCTACACAGAATTTACAGCATCTAGCAAGGGCTTAAACCCTTAGCAGGGCAGCAGAGGGCCAGGATGGAAGAGCAGCTCACTCACAGGTCTCACGTCTCTCCTTCCACAGAGGGGAAGAGCATCCCAGTCTTGGGGGCCCTATATTCCTCTTCATCTTTGCACCAGACACTGAGAGACTTGGCCAAAGAACTCACCAACCTTGACTTGCGGCGCTGGGCCAGCTTCATGGCTGCTGGGGTGGAGCAGGAGGACCTAGAGGAGCTGCTGCAGGAGCTCAACAGTCTGGCCCGGTGCTACCAGGACAGCAGCAGCCTCGTGGACTGAAGTTCTAAAAGCAGAGAAAAGCTAGTTTCCAATAAAAACTACTGGATGCAGGAACTCAGTGTTGTGGGGCAGAAGACCTTCGGGTCACAGAGCCAACAAACTTGTTTATTACTTAGAAACACATGATTAGACCACAGAACAATAAATATGTACTATCTGACAAAAAAACCCAAAACACAACAGAACAACATAGAGAAAGGAGCTGAACCTTAGTCTTTGCAACAGTATTTACAAAGTAGATTTTAAGGTCTGCACAAAAGGATGCGCAAAATAGCAGAACCCTGGGCCTGACTCTAGCAAACAGCCTGACATTGTCTTCGTCTGCAACCTCTGCTCTTCCAGCTCTGTAAATGCAGTCCTAGGGCTGGACTACCAAAGTACAGCCACTCCAGCATCCTGGGGCTATGCTGGGTTTGGTCCTGTGTGATGACACCCACTGTCTCCAAGCCTCACTCATCCAGCTCCTCCTCAGACAGAAGGTCCCCATGGTCAGAAAGCTGGTCTGTGTTGCTGGTACTGGTTGCATCATCCTCATCCTCAGAGCTGGCCTCACAGGCTGTACGGAAGAGCTGCATGAGTTCACGAAAACGGTGGGAAACCTGGAGGAGAGGGAGAGGGCTGTTCTTGCTGTTCCATGCTGCATTCAGCCCAACATGAATGAATAACTACTTATTTCACATAACAGTGTGAAAGTGCAACATCTTCTGTATAAATAAAGGACTCTGGCTAAGAGGCTAAATATTTTGCCCACATTCCCATCAAAAGTCTGAATGGATCCTCTGGGGTTCCTACCTCTAAATCCATCGTCTTTTCTCTTAGAAACACTCCCATCAGACAAATCCCTACGGTATAGGCAAACTCACAGTACCCTAAGGGTCTTGTGCTTGAAAGTTCTTGTGTCTTTCTATTCTTTATGTGGCCTCCCTTGCTCACCTGAGTGGGACTGGGGTCTTCGTCCCCTAACTCACCTCAGCTGGAGTCTTATTCCCCAGCTGTTTGGAGATGACACTAAAGGTTGGTTCATGTGCTCCTTGTTCCTGGCACATGGTGAGAATCACACGGTCAGCTTCCCTATAACACAAATCCTAAATTAGTCTTTACCTGGATGTGTCCTGGGCTCTTTTCCATCAGGCACCCCCCTATCCATCTTCACCTACCTTGTCCACAGGACTACCTTTTCCCCAGTGGAGCTGACCTTGCTGTTGTTGGCACATACTGTAGCTTCCATGGCTTTTGGCTGCTGCTCTCCCTCTGTGCCCTTACTCTGCGTCCCACTGTCCTTAAACAAACTCCCTCTAAGAGTTTTAGAAGTCTCTGAGGTGTCAGATGAAGATTGGTGGACAGGAGATATCCTGTCGGATGGCTTCACCTCAGCTCTATTTGAGGCCTGCCAGCTCTGCTGAGTGTCCAGTTTCTCAGACATCTCTCTCCTTTCTAAGTCTTTGGTCCTTTGAGAAGGAGGACTCAAGAAGGAAGAGGGAAGTTCAGTAGTCCCAGTCAGTTGTTCAGTTTTTGCTGTATCCCAGCCAAGCCTTGAAGTCTGTGGTTGTTTCACAAACTTATGGCCCTCACTCTCACTGTGACGTTTAGATGGCACCTTAGTGCAGGAGGCAACCCCAGACTCAGACTGATTTATCCTAACAGTTTGAGGGGAAAGCTGCAAAGTCTCTGGTGAGCAAGGTGTTGTGCCATCCAGGAGTCGGTCAGTAAGGATCACTTCTTGAGGGGACAGGAAAGTGCTCCCCACTGCCAATCCTGTTTAGGAGGAAAATAAGAACCTGAAGATATGAACTACTGTGATAAAGGGATAAAGTCTTATTGCTAAGCAGGAAAGTGCTATTTCCAAACAGAGAAGCTGAGTCTTCAAAAATGTAATCTAGGGGACCTGGGATAAAGGGCAGGGTTTCAAGAGAATGCTCAATCATGGAGACTTTGTAATATTAACTTCAAGAAGATGGACACCACAGGAAACAAGGCTTCACAGGAGAGGAATTTCCTACTGGTCTTAAAAGGCTATCCTTTATTCAAGCCCAAAGTTGTTCTTATGTACCAACTCAGAGTTGACCCTCTATAAATCATACAGGAGAAGACTGCCCATCCTTCTGCATAGCCAATGACAGATTTGAACCACATGCCTTGGAAATGGCAGTGCAATTCCTCACTGGGCCACCAGAGATCTCAAAAGATGGTCTGGTTAAAATATAAGAGAATGATTAACAAGGGAAGAAGGGCTGGGTTGGCCTAAGAAAGTGGAAGTCAAGCTCACTCACCTGGAATAGATGTGTCTCCCTTTCTGGTGGCCCTGCCAGTCTTGCCTTGAGTCACTTCAGTGTTCTCTCTTTCTTCTGGAGCATCTTCCTCCACTGCATCCTTGCCCTGCCCAGTGTCCTTAGCCACACACATAGGGCTGGCCTCTCGGCAGGGGCTGCTGCTCACCAACTCATGGGACTCCTTACTCTTGCAGGATTTGCTGTCACAGACCTGCAGGAACAACCTCTAGGTCAGGGTCTCCTGGCTTCCTATGCCTCAAAGACCCACCAAAGGAAGCAGCCCTGCCAACCAACAACCTGCTCCAACAATTTTAAATGACCTGGAATAGAACACAGGACTCCTCTAACAGAAAACTCTAGATTTGCTGCCAAGCACCTCACTATAAAGAAACAGTATTCTCTTTAAGGTTTATGTTCTTGACTTGGGTTTTCATTTAAAAAAACAAAAATCTAAAGGAAATATTTGAGCTATAAATTCCAAAAATTCTATCCAAAAAATTCTCTTTAAAAAGTAAAATTCAGTATGTTCAAAAGGTTGAATGGAATATCTACTTGTTCTGTAAACTTTCACTCAAATCATAAGATTTTTAAAAATCTCTTTCAAGATTTTACTTTATACACCTAAGTATTACATATCTCTTTTAAGTGTATAATCTCTTTAAGAACTTACTGAGGTACAAATCAATTCCAACAGTAAGGGCCTGGAGGTCCCCAAGCTTCCTCTGATAGCACCTCTACAGCAGTACTCCCCTCACCTTGTTGCTGCAATGGCTACAATTTCTTCTTTTGCTCTTCTTCAGCTTTGAATCAGGACCTCCATCATGGCAGGAGCAGGCACAGTCCTTGGTCCCATCGGGCCAGTCACTCTCCTAAGAGACACTTGGGCTTGGTTCACTGCCAAACATTATAGTACCAAGAAAGGGAGCTAACCTACTGGCCAGGTGAGCAAGTCTCACCTCAACCATGACCTTACGCACCATCTCTTGATAGTGTCTGGGGAAACAATGGCCCAAACAAAACCAAAACATACGATAAATCCCTGGAACAAACCCAAGTAACTAAAACTGATAGACCCCAATTGCCCAGATATTTCAAGAAGTACTTAAGTTGAATACAATCAAAGGCAAAGTCACAGGAGAGCTCCATTACAAGATATACTTCACTCACTTATTTGTTTTTGTTTCTACCTCCCTATGCCTTCAGTTCTCCCCTCTTGTAGTCCCCGAGAGGGTTTTACCATACTGGATGGTTCAAAGACACTCTCTTTTTAACAAACCTAAGGCCTAGAAGTACCATGATTATCATCCCGATTCATGAAGAAAAATTGAAACAAGAAGTTAAATGAATTACTCAAGTTCACTCAGCAACCAAGAAGCAGTTTCTACCCAGCAAAGAGCAAAGACATGTAGAAGAGACATGGATTGAAGAAGGTACTTTTAAAAGAGCATTAGAGAACACACTCTAAAGCCACATTACCTGAAGCCTGATTAAGTTGCACTGCCAATTAACTACATGTAAGACCCGGGTATTAGAATCTCTCTGCACCTCAGTTTCCTCTTCTGTAAATCTAAACAATAAGAGTATCTTCCTAGGATTATTATGAGAGTCAAATGACATTAAGTAATTATCCATGCAAAGTACTTAGAAGCAGTGCCTGATAAGTTATAATAACCAAGTAAGTACTAGCTGTTATCAATATTATTAATACAGGCAGAAAAGAAGACGTAAAAAAGAAAGCTCTCACATAGAAAAAAGAAGAACTAAAGCTTTCTAATGAGGCCGTCTTAAGGTCTCCTGAGCAACAGTGCTGTCCTTCCCACTGTTACTGCATGCTCCATAACTAGCCTGATTCCTGTCCATAATTATCTCAGACCCCATCAACCAGGAGCTTTTCTAAATCAGGAAATCATTTGGAGAGAAAACTCAAAACATGGTTCATAAAGACTGGATAACCCCCGCAACCAACATAATGTACCTTATCATGATTCTGGACCCCAATCTCTTTTCTTCTCTTGCTCTTTGAAGCTGTTGGTATCTTGGGAGGGTCTTCTTCCTCTTCCACATCAGGCAATGCCACTTCTTCAAAGCCATCAAACTGGAGGAGATGGTGCCACTTAATAAAGGCTCTGTGATGATTACCTCCCCACAGGGGACTTTTCCTCTTTACAACCCTCCTGCAGCCTCAGAAACTGTACCTCATATTCCTTTTCCTCAGTCCAATTGATCTCTTCAAAATCACCCATCCAGCTAGCTGCTGGGCGCAAATGGTCAAAAAAAACGGAAAACTCATCCTGTAAGTGGTCATGGCCCTTGAGAAGCTGCCACATCTGTGTCTTAAGCTGTGGAGAGTTTTAGAGAGAAAGAGATAAAGTCTACAGACTCTCAAAGCCATTCCTAGCCAATCCCATAATCTTAAAAGTTCTAAAACAACTATGAGATATCATCTCACCCCAGTAAGAATAGCAAAATTTAACAGAGCAGCAAACAACAAATGCTAGCGAGGTTGTGGAGAAACTGGAACCCTTATTCACTGTTGATGCGAGTGTAAAATGGTGCAACCACTATGGAAGGCAATATTGCACTTTCTCAAAACATTGCAAACAATCCATAGCTACTGGTGAGAGTCAGCGCCCACAGCCATTAGGGGCTTTAAGCTCGTTGCCCACTGCTGTGGTGTGGACAGCTGAAACCCAGGCCCCGACAGGCACTTGGGGGAGGGGGAACCCCAGACTCTACTTCATGCTCTGCTGGAG